ACATAGAAAAGAACACTCTTCTGTTGCTGGTGGGATTGAAAATTTATACATCCTCTTTGGAAATTAATATGGTGGCTTTTCAGAAATCTGGGAATTGATATACTTTAAGACTCAACTACATCACTCTTGACCATATAACCAAAGGATGCTCAATCATACCACAAGGACACTTGCACAACTAAGTTCATAGCAGCTTTATTCATAATAGCTAGAAATTGAAAACAACCTAGATGTCCCTCAACTGAAGAATGGGTAGAGAAAATAGTTTTAATGGCTAAACTGTTGAAGTATGAAATTTCACTTATCACATACTTTGCTTGGGTCATGTGACACAGTTGTACAACCTCAACAACAAGACCATCAGATGTTAACAATATAATAGAAAAGAAGAGTGTATTGTGGGAAGGAACTCCACAGTGAGTGGTGAGACCAGTGATCCTCTTTCACTAAGCTTTATCTTTCCATGTGAGGCCCATTTCAACATGATTACCTTAAGAACCAAGCCTTTAAACCACAAGAGTTTGGAAAGAAATGACATCTAATCATAACAAATTAATTCCACATCTCATGTACAAAGTTTGGTACAATTGCAGAAGGAAACATTATTCCATTTTAATAATTTTATATAAAAATTCATGAATTTCTTTCAAAAATTTATATGCAAAATAATGTTTGGTGATTTTCAGACAACATGTGTCCATTGTATTCCAGTTGAAATAAAGGCAACAATATTAAGAAGAATATCTACTCAGTAGACAAATCCCCAGAGTGAATTAGTTTTTAGTCTTGTTTGAAATTATTTGACAGAATTTACTTAAGCATGGAAGTGTTAATTTTATTTATTTTCATAGATTGAAGGTAAAGTCTGTCTTGGTTGGGAAGTCATGTGAGATGATCTAGAGTCCACTGGTACCACCACATCTGTGAGCAGGAAAGCAACAAATAAGAATGCTATTGTTTAGCTCATATTCTCCATTGTATTCAGTACAGGAACACAACCGAAAAAAGTATTGCAACTGCATTATCCAATCCAAAATAATTCAATAAATCTGGAATCCCTGATAGACATTCTTTGAGTTTTGTTATCATATTTATGCTAACTCATATCAAATTGATAATTAACATTATGCACTACAATGACCTTGGTTTAAGAACACATTTCTATGTGCCTCGACAAGATCCTTCAATCTACCATGCAGGATAACATCCCATACTATCCACCAGCTGTACAAACTTGTATCAGTTTTTTGATTGTAGTGTATTATATATCTGGGATGTGAAATCCCACATTTAATGTTTCCATATATTCTAGTGAGTCTCCAATGTAGATCCTGAGTAGGAATATTGCTGTTAATATCTGCACATAACAAAGGAAATGTTGGAGAAATGATGTGCTAGGATTATATGATAAACAGTATGCTAGAGGGAAAAATAACTTTGTCATCAGAGACACTGACTAGAACAAATTAAGGGAAATAACCCCCAGGCATCCTCAAGACCCATGCTATCCTTCTGTCTCAACAATTTGAAATCATGCACAAATATACTGGGGGATACAGATGGTATGTTATACCATGTCATTCTGGATGTCAATTTTATAGGCCCAGGCATCCTGATAATAGCTAGGCAAATCAAGCTGTAAGCTAGGGACACTTGACACTTTTAAACACATTACTACATACAATGTTAAAGAAGTTTAATAAGAATCTTGAGACTTTGATTGCAGAGAAAATATGGAGCATAAAATAGTACCAACAAGCTCATATGATGGCTACAGCAACTGTGTATTTTCTGCAAATCTCATGAAATCCTAGAGCTATATATAGAAGACACCTTGTTCCATCTAAGGAAACCAATTCATCTTCAAAATGAGTGATACTTTCCTTTGATTATTTTTTTTTGGTTTTAGCTAAAACATAGGAATCAGTGTGTAGTATTGTCAGACGCCAACAAGTCTTCAAATTGAGTATCTAATATAAGTAAGAGCATTGTTTGTAATAGCCAAAACCTGGAAACAAGCTAGATGCCCTTCAACTGAAGAATGGATAAATAAATTGTGGCACATATACACAATGGAATAATACTCAGCAGAGAAAAAAAATGACATCATGAGGTTTGCAGGCAAATGGATGGATCTAGAAAAAATCATCCTGAGTGAGGTAACCCAGCCTCAGAAAGACAAATATGGTTTGTACTCACTCATAGGAGGATACTAGAGGTGGAACAAGGATGACAGGACTGCTACTCAAATCACCAGGGAGGCTACCTGGAAAACAGGACCCCAAGAAAGACATGAGAATTGCCCAATGATGGAGAAATGGCTGAGATCTACACGAACAACCTGGACATGAGTGGGAGTAATGAAGGGCAAAGGGCAAGGGAAAGAGAGCCTATGGGAGCAGGAGATCTCAGCTGGATCAAGAACAGAGAGGGAGAACAGGGAATAGGAGACCATGGTAAATGAAGACCACATGAGAAAAGGAAGAAACAAAGTGCTAGAGAGGCCCACAGAAATCCACAAAGATACCCCCTCAATAGACTGCTGGCAATGGTCGAGAGACAGCCCAAACTGACCTACTCTGGTGAAGGGATGTCCAAACACCCTAATAGTCATGCCAGAAACGCCATCCAAGGACTGAGGAATCTGGATTCAGAGTTCCTTGGCTAGGCCCTGAGTGGAGCTCCAGGAGTCTAATTAGCAAGAAAGAAGAGGGTTTATATGAGCGAGAATTGTTGAAACAAAGGTTGGATAAAGCACAGGGACAAATAGCCAAACGAATGGAAACACATGGACTATGCATCAAAGGCTGAGGGGCCCCCAAATGGATCAGGCCCTCTGAATAGGTGAGACAGTTGATTGGCTTGATCTGTTTGGGAGGCATCTAGGCAGTGGTAC